TAACTTTGATAAAGAATATCTCTTTGGTTTTGAGACTTTAGTCTTTGCAACTTCAGGGATCTTATCTATGCACAATCAGCTTGTAACACTCCAAAGAGAAAGGAAAACTTAAAATCGCATCATATGACCCCTTTAAGAAGAAAATGACAGTCTTTATCTGATTGAATAAATGGTGGTTCTTGCTGACAATTCACTGATAAACTCAATGAAAATCACGACAAGGCTTGTCTTTATGCGCTGTCTACAGATTACCGTAATAATAATAATAATAATAAGCACGCACACTATTTTCGACTCGACCAGTTTGACGGGCGCTCGGCTTAATTAATGCGCTATCCCAAGGCTATCCTAACTTTAAGCAGTTATTATTGAATTCTTCATAAGTTTTGTCTTAAGAATGATTAAGAAGAATTGCTGGGAATACAAAATATTCTTAAAGGGATAGTTCACCCAAAAATGAAAATTCTGTCATTAATTACTCACCATCGTGTCGTTTCAAACCCGTAAGACCTTCGTTCATCTTCGGAACACAAATTAAGATATTTATTAACGCAACTGAAATGTTCCCAAGTCCAGAGAAGTAGCAAGGAGATCTGTAAAATAATCCATGTGACATCAGGCGTTCATCCGCAATTATACGAAGCTACGAGAATACTTTTTGTGCGCAAAAGAAAAAAAAAACGACTTTATTCAACAATTCGTCTCCTCCGCATCACCCTGTAAACAGCGTATGCTGTTCTGTGTCAGCTGCGTCACGCCGGATCTGTTTCCTACGTTATTGTGATTTAATCTGAACGGAAACAGTGTATCCGCGTGACATTTCAGTTGTGTTGCTGTCTATGGGAGGGTCAGACAGCTCTCAGATTCCATCAAAAATATCTTAATTTGTGTTCTGAAGATGAATGAAGGTCTTACGGTTTTGAAACGACATGAGGGTGACAGACAGAATTAACGACAGAATTTTCTTTTTTGGGTGAACTAACCCTTTAACTTTTTTCGTAAGTTAGAAAATAAGAAGAAAATTAAGCAGTTAAGAAGTTTGTTTGTTTGTTTGTTTGTTTGTTTGTTTTGAGAATCCGTAACTTTGAACAAACGTTCTATTAACTCTTTCCCCGCCATTGAAGAATGCTTTAAGCTAGAATAAAACTGATTGTTTTGTTTAAAAGTTGAGGCTCTGATCTTTATTATGGTGTATTGCATATTCACATATTCATACAGCAAAATATTCTGGAGGCCATCAAATTTTAGTGAAAATCATCAAAATCGCTGGCGGTGGCTGGCAACTTTTTTCAAAAATGCTGGTGGGGAAAGAGATTAATGTAACTGGAAGAACGTTTGTTGATATAACATTGCCAGAACATTCAGAGAACGTTCAAAAGTAACGTTACCATAATGTTTGCATAATGGTAAAACGGAACTTTCCTTTAATGTTTACTCTAAAATTTGCATAGCCAAGAAATTTTTTTTTTTTAAATTCTGAACATTCAGTGAACATTCAGAAATAATGTTTTCATAATGTAATAGGAATGCAAAACATTCTTAGAACATATTTGAATCACAAGTAAGCTTGCCAAATTCGCCATACTTCAAGGTTAACCTTGGTGAAACATACAGTGGGAAATCCTTAATTAATAGTACTATATCTTTAAAAATGCAGTATTTCACTCATTGTGTGCAATGCATGTCTATTGTTCTATGTGTATCAGCGCTTCAGCAGGGCCGCATGCTAATGTCTGAATCCTCTGTGCATGAGTGAGCGTTACTGAAGCTGCTGCTGAAAGAGCGTCTCAAATCAGACACAATCAGGCTCCATTTCCATTAGGATGCTGTTTGTGGAGCGCTGCCAGTGTAGACATTAGACCGAGAGTCAGATCTCTGCAGTCGGAGACACAGCCACTGTGTTTTCTGTCCAGAATGACCAGGATCAAACACACGAGACGATACTGTCAGGGTGTTTTATCCTATTTTGGCAGCAACAAACATTCAGCGGTCAGCAACACAAGTTTCATCCAGAAGAATAGCATTTCAGTACAATGCAGGACATGATTTGTAAAAATGGGGCTGTTCCCAATTTTATCCAAGAAATGAGGTCAACTCCTTGGAATTCTTTTTGTCACGATGAAAGTCAGACAGCAACTGTTTAACAGGACTGTATTATATATTATAAGGCCAAATTGGGCAAACTACTCAACTTCTTTTTGTCAGATTTCACTATATCATTTACTTGATTCATGTAACATAATAATAATAATAATAAATATTAATTCAAATTTAGATATTATTAATTTAAAATAATATATTAATTAAATAAAAAATAATAAAAAAACGAAACCTTATACATTTCAGTCTAACTAAATATGAACTATTATTAAATATACTACTACTAATAATAATAATAATATACAAATTAATGTTAATTTTAATAAAAAATAATTAAAATTAAAATTTTAAAATAATATATTTAATAATTAAAATATAATATTTTATGTTATTGACATGATTCATGCCTTGTAATACCTAGTTGAATCATTGTTATTATAGTGCTACAAAACTTTCAACCTCTGTAGCACCAGTGCTATGTGAAAAAAAAGTTAACGTACAGCCCTGCATTAAGAGTGAATGTGTGCACATTTTGAATGGAGTTCATTAACTTTTAATAAACTAAAAATGTCACTTAAAATAGTTAACATGCACTAAGCCTAAAATAAATTCTTATATATTTTTCTTTCTTTTTCTTATTCATTTAAATCCTTTCTTCAATTTTTTTATAAATAAAAACAATTTAATTGTATTCAACATAGGTTTGACCCACAATGTTGACAAGAGTGTGTATGGAAGCGCTCTCTGAGCTGAATCTGATGAGACTGAATCCAGTGTGTGTTTGATCTGTTTGCAGTTGAAGTGCTTTGCTTCTGTTGGCCCGCTGCTGTCTGGGTCTGGTGCTGGAGAACCCCGGCGGACGGATCAGAGCAGCCTGGCGGCAGGTAAACACACACGTTCATATGTACTGCTCTCTCTTCTTGCTTCTGTTTCTTCCGTTCTTCTTTTTTCTCCTCTGACAGTGGTTTTAAAGCTCCACGATGATCACAAACAGTGTCTCAAAGCCTGGTGAGCTTCCTATTCATTGTGCAGATCAGGTAACGGTGGAAAAAAACCGCCCCCAAAATTAGTGCAGAAAGCAGTTACCTGATCGAGTCAGATGCGCCTACCATGACCTTCAGCGATTCAGTTAATGGGAACCCACTTTAATATTCACATAAGTTAAATGAAAATATCATAAGGTAATACTTAAATATAATAATTAATATTTAGTACATATATATATATATGGACTCGTATTTTAGCCGGAAGCAACGGTTTGAAATTAAAAGCATCTTAATGCTGGATTTGTTTCAGCTTTTGTCTTCTCCAGATAATAAAAAAACGAAACCTTATACATTTCAGTCTAACTAAATATGAACTATTATTAAATATACTACTACTAATAATAATAATAATATACAAATTAATGTTAATTTTAATAAAAAATACTTAAAATTAAAATTTTAAAATAATATATTTAATAATTAAAATATAATATTTTATGTTATTGACATGATTCATGCCTTGTAATACCTAGTTGAATCATTGTTATTATATTTAACTAAAACTAAAACCATTAAAAATGATGTTACTTGAAATAAAAAATTAACATTAACTGAAATAATAAAATAAAATAAAACTTATTTTTGTCCACTTATCGACTGATTGCCAAGGCAACATTTATCACTTTCATTTAGTTTAACCTGTAAAAAAAAATGTAATTAAATAAATAAAAATTGAAACTAAAACTAAAACTGAAATAAAAATGAATAAAAACTATATAGACATATTAAAAAAAGAAAGAAAAGAAAAAAAAATACTAATATTTTAACTAAAATTAAAATGAAAAATAAAATAAAACTTATTTTTGTCCACTTATCGACTGATTGCCAAGGCAACATTTATCACTTTCATTTAGTTTAACCTGTAAAAAAAAATGTAATTAAATAAATAAAAATTGAAACTAAAACTAAAACTGAAATAAAAATGAATAAAAACTATATAGACATATTAAAAAAAAGAAAGAAAAGAAAAAAAAATACTAATATTTTAACTAAAATTAAAATGAAACTGAAAAATATACAATTCAATATATTAATAAAAACTATAATAGTGTCTCAATAAAGCTAAAATATTAAGTGTGATGAGACAAGAAATGATGTTAACTGATGGACTGGAGTGCTGTGGATTACTTGTGGATTATTGTGATGTTTTTATCAGCTGTTTGGACTCTCATTCTGACGGCACCCATTCACTGCAGAGACACTGATGCAATGCTACATTTCTCTAAATCTGATGAAGGAACAAACTCATCTTGTTTTTTAATGCAATCTAGTTTAGTAGCAGTGTTAGCTGCACATGAAGGGCTTTAGATACGTAAGATTCCCTAATTTAGTAAATGCAGACATTAGTTCTGTAGGTTTGAGACATGACAAATGTGTTTTCCTGATAGCTGCTTGATACTAATGTCTTGTTAAGTCTGATAGTTTCTGTCCTCCGTTGTTCTGCGGCTAATAGCCTGCTGCATTCACACGAGAATAGAAGAGCTGATAAGTTCTTCGTTTTCTGAGAGTTAGAAGAATCGATGTCTTCACACACAAAATCCCCGCGAGTTCTGCTCGCCGCGTCTCTCTAGAAAGCGAACCGTGTCAGAGTTCAGCCCGAGCAAATCAAACAGAGATCTGGAGAACAGAGGCCGGTGAATCGGCAGAGGAGAGAGAAGGTCACCGGAAGGTTGCTGTGCTGATTACTGGAATGTCATTCAGTGTCAGTCATTAAGTCTAATCAATGAACTGTGTCTGACGTACCTAATTACCTGATGATCCTCCAGCAAAGGTGCTGCACTGCGGTCCAGTTACATTCACAAGAGGAATCGTTTTACTGGAGCTTCAACTAAACTGTATTTAAATACGCTGATTATTCTTTCATAAGTGTAATATTTATAATACAGAAAAATAGACTGTTTTTTTTTTTTTTAGATGCATGCAATCATTTCAATTCAAGCATCTGATGACGGTTGCATGACCGAAGCATTTCGATTAATATTGGATTTTTGCAAGGTACGGCAGTGTGAAGGATTCTTCTTTCATTATTCTATTAAGTGGAATATTTATGAAATAATGCAGTAATTAAAAATTAAAAAAAGGCAAAAAGATTTTATTTATTGAAACAGTAATTTAGAAAAAAAATAGTAATTTCAGTCTTACTAAATATTAAGTATTATTAAATATATTAATAATTGTAATAGTATTAGTGTTAAAATTATTATATTATTAATAATATAACTTAAAAAAAAAAAAAATACTAAACAGAAAAACACATAAGTAAAATAGCTGATTGTTTTTTTATTAAACTTTTATTAAACCATATTAAGATTGACACTGAATGACTTAGAATTGTAATATTAAACATGACCCTTTTTTTAGACAGAATTAAAAAATAATTAATTCACTTCAGAGGCAATACAACTCAGCAGCACAGATAAACAATGTGAGATATTAAACAAATATCCTCATTTGGATCTTTATTTAATGGGATAGTTAACCCAAAAATGAACATTTTGTCATAATTTACAAACAGTTTATGGTAGCCATTGACTTTTACATGCTATGGAAGTCAATGGCTACCCTCATCTGCTTGGTTCCCAACATTTTTTTAAAAATATCTTCTTTTGTGCTCAACAGAAGAAAGAAACTCACACTGGTTTGAAACAACTTGTGAGTGAGTAAATGATGACAGAAGTATTATTTTGGGTGAACTATCCCTTTTTAACTAACAGTATTATTAATAATATAACTTACTTAAAAATATATATATATATATTACTTAATTTAATAATTAGTAAAATAACATTATAATGTGATTTATGTAATGTAATTCCTAGTTGAATCAGGGTTATTATAGTTAAACTAAAACCAAACAAAAACTAAAACCATAAAAACGTTTTATTACTTGATACGAAATAAATGCTAATTGAAGTCAAATGCAGAAAAACTAAAACTTATTTTATTTATACATTTCAGTCTAGCTAAAAATAAAGTGTTATTAAATATAATAAGAATAAGAATAAGAATAAGAATAAGAATTAATATGAATTCAAATTAAACATTGAAATATTAATTAATTTGATAATTAATCAAATCAAATTATAATATTTTATGTTATTTACATGATTCATGTAATGTGACTCCTGGTTGAATCAGGGTGATCATAGTTCAACTAAAACTAAAACCATAAAAAATATTACTTGAAACAAATATAAGTTTAAATATAAAACCGTTTTTATTTTTAAAAAATTATATATATATATATACACACACACACACACACACACACCTTATTTTCATAAATTCATGAATCAAAGCTAACTAACTATGAGGTATTAAATATATCAAATATTAAATCTAACTATTCTAAACAAACTTTAATTTCTATTTCATATCTACAGAGATTCTGACGTGATTAGTGTTTCGTTGAACTTACAGGTTTGTGATTATGTGATTATTATAGGTATACGTTCACACCGAATGAATCTCTGAAGGTCATGAAGTCGCTGGCAGGCGTATGTGACTCGGTCAGGTCATTGCAAATTGAATTCTGTACTAATTTGGGGCTGTTTTTCCACCGTTACCTGATTTGCACAATTCTATTCAGTCAAGCACCATCAGTGAACACAATTCATTCTTACACAATTCCCCTCTGTGTTTATTAACAGTATTGTTTTGAAAGGCTGTGCACATGAATTATCATAGCTCATGTGCATGTGTGAGTATCTGGAGGCTTTATTTGGATGCTCTGATGTTTAGATGTCAGATGCAGGAGGCTGAATGCTGGGAGTGGTGTTATGCGGAAGAGAATCATGTTTCCATTGACTAAACCCCAAGCTCTACTCTCTCTCTCTCTCTCTCTCTCAATCGATAGGTTCAGTTCTGAGCTGGATTATGTCTCTCGCACCGCAGGCTCCCCTCCATCCAGCCTCCTTCTCGTTCACTCTTGGCTTTATCAAGGTCATCTCACCCAGACTCAGATCTGCTGTGTAGCAACAGCGCCTCCGTCTGGACAAACGCAGGTATTCAACATATGAGCTTGTTCCGTGTGAATTTTTTTTTTAATATATATATGTTTCACAGTGAATTTGTTTTTTTACGGTTTTTCTTGAGTGGTCTGACATTTATTTTGTGATTTTTTTAATGTTCATTTCTGTACCAAAAACACATTTTCTTTTTGCTTGTGTATCTTTCTGTTGGACAAAACATGAATCTAAGTGACTCTTAAGGACTCTTACTGTAAAAAAAAACCTTTATTTATTTTATTTTATTTTATGTATTTATTTATTTATTTATTTTGTATTTATTAATTTTT